GCCAACCAAAATTGTGATCATAAATGTAAAAAAGGTTTCCTTTCAAGAACTTCAAGCACAATTATTGTTTGCTAAGTATTTCAACAGCTGACAATCCCTTTTCTTTGTGAATATATAAAGGGCTAATAACAACAGAGTCAAATCTAACTCTAACACCTTTAATAGCCCTAATATTGGAACAAATATATATATTTGCCTTTGAAGAATTATTCTGGTGAATGCACATTCGTGCAAGTCTTAGTACTTGGTGAAATGACTATTAGGAAGAAAAAAAAACACAAGAACGGATTTCTACTATTGAGCTGGTCAATGTCCCTTGTCCTCAATGTTTTCATTACAAAGTGGAAATAGCACTTCTTGACTCCTACTTCCTCACAAGAATATGCTCACCAGAGGCAAAAAATCCACTATTTACTTTGCACTCTTAAATTTAAAAAAAAATACTGATGTCACACTATAATCTTTCCATCTGTTAGGCAGATAGAATTCCTACTTTGAAGATACACCCTGAGCCAAGATGAGCATTCAAACTTTAAATCTTCCTCTTTGTCCCAACCTCCAGAAAGGACAACTGATGCAGTCACCTTCAATTACCTTCCTAACCCCCATTTTAAAGCTATTTTTCTAACCTGCTTTACTGTTTCCTGATGCACTCCACATTTATTGCATATACCGCCTTCCACTACAATGGTTACTCTTTTCTTTTGCCTAACATCTTCTCCCCACCCTTCATCTATGACCGCCTTTCTTCCTTTGTCAATAAATCACCCTTTCTTATGATTGTCTTTATTGGTGACAAGAAGAAGCCAGTCTTTCTAACTCTGTGCTCTCAGAACCCCAATTTGTATCCTCTTTCAAACACTCATCTCAGTTTTCCAAGAGAGCGAAAATGAGCTCCAACTTGCTCACTGAGTAATACCTAATTATAATAGCAGGTTGCTGCATAATATGTCAGGCTCACAACTAGGCAGTATGTATGAAATAAGAAAATTCCTGCTGTTGCCTTGACATAAATATTCAGGTTGTTGTGTGGGTGAGAGAAATGAAGGAAAATACTGGTTGCTTCATTTCCTCAGCCCAATGTTTTCAAGCAGAAGACAAGTATTCTATCTGACTCTAATAAGAAACAGATTAGCATGTGGCAAGCCTTAGCCATGTGGTAAGCCATGATACTTTTGTCCCTCTTTGCCATTCCACTGAGCTTTGGTAGGTGTCTAAAAAAAACTTCTAGAGCAAATGGTACAGTTAAGTATAAGGGACACTTGGATGATTTGGTCACTCATCAGCTGTCACTAACAACATGAACCCTCAGCTGTTGCCCTTCTTCTCCCTTATAAGTCTTGTCACATGAATCCATATGTGGGTCAATAGAGAAAATTCACTTTAATTCTGACTACCATATTAAATTGCATCAGGATGATAATTTCTAAAGGCCTCTAACTTATTTTTCCATGTGTAATTTCTGTGTGCGACTAATAATACCTTGATGACATCCATACCCATTGGCTCAATAGAACTCGGTATGTATTTGTTCCTTCAGTTTTTCATCTTGATGCAAGGAGGGCAAAAGACTTTTTCTCATTAAACATCAAACTCCCTTACCTGTCAAGCATACTGTAGACTTTGAGGGGTTGCTGCAAGCAAGGTGAAACATTAGTAGGCTGTGAATGAAAGAAATAAATGAAAGAGCCAGGTGTGGTGGCACACACCTTTAATTCCAGCACTCGGGAGGCAGAGGCAGGCAGATTTCTGTGAGTTCGAGGCCAGCCTGGTCTACATAGAGAGTTCCAGATCAGCTGGAGAAACCCTGTCTCAAAAAGGCAAAAAAATGAAAGAGGATATTCATTGCAAAAAAAAAAAAAAATCCCAGGCTATCCTTTGACAATCCAAAAGAAAATAAGCCAGTAGACAATTTTATGCTACTTATAAAAATGGTGAATCTATTATAAACATGCCATTTTTAAC